AGGCGGCTCTCCCTCACCTCAGGGCTCATGGGCATCCTCACGCCCTCCTCCTCCCAGCCCGCTGTGCGTAACTCTCATCTTCAGTTCAAGGTTAATCGGGGTGGCAGGGAGGGTTCTGGGCATTGGCAGGGAGCTGGTAGAGGAAAGCAGCGCGATCCTGTCTTTTAAAACTGTGGGTTTTGTAAGTATTGTGCATAGCGGGCGTTTGCAACTGATGCTGGGATGTCTATCTACACTAACAAAAGAGAAAGATGCTATTGACCGTACCTTCGCAACACCCACCAGCCAATCAGGAGTGAGTATGCAAATTAACCCAACGAAGATGGCGGATTAATCTGCATATGCAGGCGCTGAGCAGCTGGGGGCGGGGTGGCCACTTATGTGCATATGGGCACCAAGCGGCCTGGGTCCCAGGGATGGGCGTCCTCAGGACCCAGTCTGCTCTGAGCCTGTAGGCCTGCACGTAGGCCCAGAGCAGCCGGGGTCCCGGAATGACCCCTGGCCACTCTGGGCCTGCATGCGCAGGCGCTGAGCAGCTGGAGGCAGGGTGGGGCGGGAACATCCCGGGACCCAGGCACTCTGAGCTGGCACGCACGCAAGCATCCCCCACAGCGAACGAGCAGACAGTAGGGCCCTGCTTTCCCCTGGCCGTGGCAACGAGGGGCAAGCAGTTCCCCGCAGGGCCTGCACAGAGAGCAGACACCAGGGCCTGCAGTGGCATCAAGCAGGCAGGTCGCAGAGAACAGAGAACCACGGGGAGCAGGCCTAAGCCGTCAGTAGGACATCCCCTGAGGGCTACCAGATTGGAGAGGGTGCAGGTCGGGCTGAGGGACCCACCCCCCATGCACGAATTTCATGCACTGGGCCCCTAGTGTTGATTATATTTGTCTTAAGAAAATGTATTTGAACATACTGGTACTCTGAGGTAGACGTCCCTTCAAGCCCATTCTTACCAAAACTTCTTAGGGCCTGTAGGGTATCATGTCAGGGGGTTCACAGAGCATCTCCTTACACAGGCTGAAAGTTTGATGTTTTGTGAAGTGGGCGGAGCCGATCTCTAGTTTTCTCACCTAAGTGGTGGAGGACAAGGCTTGTCTAATAATGAACTTCAGGTGATGTCCTTCCTGTCGTGTCTAAGAGGAAAGCTGGGCCACTAGCACCATCGCTTGTAGCGAGGAGCAGCATTCATGGCGGTAGCTCTGCCTCACCTGAAGCTGCTCTGGGTGTCTGTAACCCCCAAGTCACTTAATCCTGAAGCTGCTTTATTGGGGGCGCGGGGGGCGGGGGGGGGGGGGCGGCGAGGAAGCGGGGGGAGGGATGGATTAAAAGTTAACTTTGGTGGTGTTCACTGGGAGTCAGTCTTACACAAAATTTACCTCTGGAGGGATCTGCCTTAGAGTCCGTTTCAGGTAAAGAAACAGACCTATCTTATGTATTTCATTTGCTTAAAATAGTGGACACATGTTTTGTTTGCTTTTGGCGAGTGTGTGTCTGTGCTGGGGCGGCTGTATTTAGCTCTTGACTGTGCACATGGAAACACCTAGCCATAGATGAAACCGCAGAAAGAAAAGATTTGTTTTTAGAAAGTTGTGTTTCTTGTATAGATTTATTTCCAAAATTTAATTGTACACTTTACCATAAGATTATATTTGTGTTAAGAGAATGTATTGAAACATATTGGTAATTTTATGTAGACACCCCTTAAAGCCCATTTCTTACCAAAACTTATTAGGGCATTTGGGACATAATGAGTTACGTAGAAGAAAGTTATCTAAGTTTCACCTGTTAGTTACAGCCAGGAAAGATAGTCTCAGACATTCTGCACAAGAGGATGTCTGCATGGCCTCCTGCCTGGTGAAGCTGACGCATCATGTAAGAGGCCAGTGTTGTCTGCTTCTCAGTGCCCGTCTTCACTGTCTTTGGAGGAAGAATTTTACAATCTGATTGTAAAATAAGATGGAGATGCTCCACAGTGGTTCTCAACCTTCTGGCCCTTTAAATACAGTTCCTCATGTTGTGACCCAACCATAAAATTATTTTCGTTGCTACTTCATAACTGTAATGTTGCTCCTGTTATGAATCGTCATGTAAATATCTGAGATGCAGGATGGTCTTAGGCGACCCCTGTGAAAGGGTCGTTCGACCGCCAAAGGGGTCGCGACCCACAGGTTGAGAACCGCTGCTCTATGAGGAGGTGGGAGCGTTTGACACCAAGTAATAGAGGAAATGAGTGTTTGTGATTATGTGAAGATGCCAGTCATTTTACTGGAAGATCAGGAAGGGGGCATGTTCACTTAGTTCAGACAAAGGTTCATGGCAGAAAGTGTCCTGTCGCACAGGGACTCCGCCACCTCCATGTCAGATCAGCGCCTCGGCTCCTGCTACAGGTGATCTTAGAAAGAGCACGTCTGCTTCCGTTCACGGCTGTGCAAAGCAAAAGGCCGTAATCTGCCTATTTCCCCATTCTAAAGAATTGTTTTGTTCTTCTGCTTTGGTTTTTACAGCCAAATGGTGCCAAATGCGTTCCCATCCGAGACCGCGGCTTCCTAGTGCAGGTAGGAGCCCAGCACCCACCCGCTGGAGAGCGGCTTTGGCTGTGGGGGGAGGGGGAGTGAGGGCGTCATGTCCCTGTCAGCCCCACCTCATTCCCTCCCTGTGGCTCCCCGCAGACCATCGAGTTCGCGGAGCAGCGGATCCCCGTGCTGAACGAGCACTGCGTGGTGTGCGACGAGCGACACGTGTTCCTGAACGGCCCGATGCTCAGGGTCAGTGTCCGTGGGGGCGGTCGGGGGGGAGTGGGGATGTCAGGGAAGGGGGAAGGCAGAAAACGGAATCGTGAAAAGCTGCACTGACAGTAAATACTCTCTGTTGAGTAGATTATCTCGTAGGTAAAGGGGTATAATTTTGACCACGGAGTCACTGTGTCTGAAGGAATCCATGTCAGAGCGAGTCGTGTCATGTCAGGAACATATTTTGTTCATGTGCCTGTATTTCCTGCATGTGCCTGTCGTCTCTCTTGTTTATCTGTGTGTGTCTCATAGGTCACCTGTCAGGCACATGTGGGTAACAGGGAGACAGAACTTGTAAACAGCATTTCTTCAAAGCCACACAATTTAAGATGCTCACTATAGAGAGGAGAGGGTGGTCTGTATTGCAGTTAGAAGAGTTGTATAGGAGCTTGCAGAGAATCAGTAAAATTTCAAGATGCAACTCACTGACACATTCAGGGGGTGATTGAGGGGGTATAGAAATAAGAATCCATGTGCATTTTGGGGAGAATTATCCGATTTCAAACTTTGTTTATAATTCTTTTATTGAGGTTAAATTTGGTAAGAAATGCATAACATGTAATTCACTATGTTAATGTGTACAGTTCAGTGGTGCTTAGTGTAGTCACACTGTTGTACAACCATTACCGCTCTGTCATTCCAGAACATTCCCACCACCCATAAAAGAACCCTGTAGCTTAGTGGTCACTCCCCATTTCCCCTCCCCTCACCCCCTGCCAACCACTCGTTTATTTTCTATCTCCGAGAATCGGCCTGTTCTGGGCTTTTCATGTCAATGGAACCTTGTGTTCTGTGGCCTTTGTGTGGGGTTCTCTAACTTAGTGTAATGTTTTCAAGGTCCACCCACGTGGCATGTATCTGTACTTTATTCCTTCTATGGTGGGATAATGTAGTGTATGGATGTTTGACATTTGTTTATCTATCATCAGTTACTGGAATTATTGGGACATATGTTAACTCAGTTTAACTTTTTGAGGAACTGCCAAACGTTTTTGACCCTTTCATATTCCTACTGACAGAGTATGATGGTTCCACTTTCTCCACATCTTCACCAGCATAGCTAGCTATCACTTGGTTTTATGTTGCTGTAGTTCAGACTGGTATCTAAGGAAATCAGAAAAGTTACTTTGGTTTCTTAGATAGGAAGGTCAGTGACCTATGAAATCAGATCACAAAATGAAAATTTTTTTAAAAATCTCATTTTCATGCCCGGCTGGTGTGGCTCAGTGGTTGAGCATCGACCAAGGAACCAGGAGGTAGTGGTTCGATTCCTGGTCAGGACACATGCCTGGGTTGCAGGCTCGATCCCTAGTTTGGGGCGTACAGGCGGCAGCCGATCAGTGATTCTCTTTCACCATTGATGTTTCTATCTCTCTTTCCCTTTCCCTCCCTCTCTGAAATGAATAAAAATATATTAAAAAAAACAAAAACCCCCCAAACATTTCATTTTCAAAAGAAGAGAACAAAAGAGGAAGAACTGTGCCCTTTGATTCTGTTAGAAATTTCACCTAACTCAGGGTCACTCATTTTCTCTCTCTTTCTTACATTGATTGCAGTAGTTTCACTAGAATTTTAATAGAAATGTGTGAAAATTATTAGAAATATAGTTTCTTATGGAGTGTTAATAAACTGACTCATTGACCACACATTCAATCCATACGACACGTTACAGACTAATAAATCCCAGAGATACAAGAACAAGTTCTAACCCAATCGGAGATTCAACAAATTAGATAAAATTCCTGGGTTTTCATAGATCTAATGTCACATGTGTTAGCTATTTCTATTTCTAAATTTACCCTGTTACTTACATATTTTCTCTTTTCTCCAAACCTGTTTTCATTATATGACAAAAGTCTCTCAAAAATTCCTAGAGTGGTAATCTACGTGTGCTGTTCTGCCCCTTTCCTCCGATCTGGGCAAGCAGGCCACAGTTTCTACTACACGGGGAGCTAGACCTCCTCCTTAGAAAGACCAGACGCCCCAGTTTTCTCTCTGTTTACGAAGTTCATAAACGCCACTCCCGGGCTGGCACTCTGCTCTGCACCCGCATTAACACCAGGAACATTGTCCAGAGATGCCCGACTGCTCTTACATATTTTCTCTTTTCTCCAAACCTGTTTTTATTATATGACAAAAGTCTCTTATTTTCCAAAATTCCTGAGAGTGTAATCTACGTGTGCTGTTCTGTCCCTTTCCTCCGATCTGGGCAAGCAGGCCACAGTTTCTACTACACGGGGAGCTAGACCTCCTCCTTAGAAAGACCAGACGCCCCAGTTTTCTCTTTGTTTACGAAGTTCATAAACGCCACTCCCGGGCTTGCACTCTGCTCTGCACCCACATTAACACCAGGAAGATTGTCCAGAGATGCCCGACTGCCCAGGTTGGCATCGAAGTTTGGATCCTGATCAGAAAACCAAACCCAGACCAGATCATTGGTTCTGGACGTTTGGGGACCAACTGGAGTGTTAACACAGCAACTGCCTTAAAGATGTTTTCAAATGTCGAGCTACACAGCTCGTGTTTTTGCAAAGCAGGACAGCTTCCCTGACCGAGCCGGCCACCGTGTTATCCTCTGAACTCCGCATGCCCTTCTCTCTCTCGCACGCGCCTGCACACGCCAGCCCGGGTCAGTGCGGTGGCTCTTCTTGGCTCCCTGCACGCGAGCTGCTGAGCTCCTGGAGGAAACCGCGTGGCTGTGTTGGGATAATGTAGTGTATGGATGTTTGACATTTGTTTATCTATCATCAGTTACTGGAATTATTGGGACATATGTTAACTCAGTTTAACTTTTTGAGGAACTGCCAAACGTTTTTGACCCTTTCATATTCCTACTGACAGAGTATGATGGTTCTAGTTTCTCCACATCTTCACCAGCATAGCTAGCTATCACTTGGTTTTATGTTGCTGTAGTTCAGACTGGTATCTAAGGAAATCAGAAAAGTTACTTTGGTTTCTTAGATAGGAAGGTCAGTGACCTATGAAATCAGATCACAAAATGAAAATTTTTTTAAAAATCTCATTTTCATGCCCGGCTGGTGTGGCTCAGTGGTTGAGCATCGACCAAGGAACCAGGAGGTAGTGGTTCGATTCCTGGTCAGGACACATGCCTGGGTTGCAGGCTTGATCCCTAGTTTGGGGCGTACAGGCGGCAGCCGATCAGTGATTCTCTTTCACCATTGATGTTTCTATCTCTCTCTCCCTTTCCCTGCCTCTCTGAAATGAATAAAAATATATTAAAAAAAAACAAAAACAAAAACAAAAACCCCCCGAACATTTCATTTTCAAAAGAAGAGAACAAAAGAGGAAGAACTGTGCCCTTTGATTCTGTTAGAAATTTCACCTAACTCAGGGTCACTCATTTTCTCTCTCTTTCTTACATTGATTGCAGTAGTTTCACTAGAATTTTAATAGAAATGTGTGAAAATTATTAGAAATATAGTTTCTTATGGAGTGTTAATAAACTGACTTATTGACCACACATTCAATCCATATGACATGTAACAGACTAATAAATCCCAGAGATACAAGAACAAGTTATAACCCAATCGGAGATTCAACAAATTAGATAAAATTCTTGGGTTTTCATAGATCTAATGTCACATGTGTTAGCTATTTCTATTTCTAAATTTACCCTGTTTCTTACATATTTTCTCTTTTCTCCAAACCTGTTTTTATTATATGACAAAAGTCTCTTATTTTCCAAAATTCCTGAGAGTGTAATCTACGTGTGCTGTTCTGTCCCTTTCCTCCGATCTGGGCAAGCAGGCCACAGTTTCTACTACACAGGGAGCTAGACCTCCTCCTTAGAAAGACCAGACGCCCCAGTTTTCTCTTTGTTTACGAAGTTCATAAACGCCACTCCCGGGCTTGCACTCTGCTCTGCACCCACATTAACACCAGGAAGATTGTCCAGAGATGCCCGACTGCCCAGGTTGGCATCGAAGTTTGGATCCTGATCAGAAAACCAAACCCAGACCAGATCATTGGTTCTGGACGTTTGGGGACCAACTGGAGTGTTAACACAGCAACTGCCTTAAAGATGTTTTCAAATGTCGAGCTACACAGCTCGTGTTTTTGCAAAGCAGGACAGCTTCCCTGACCGAGCCGGCCACCGTGTTATCCTCTGAACTCCGCATGCCCTTCTCTCTCTCGCACGCGCCTGCACACGCCAGCCCGGGTCAGTGCGGTGGCTCTTCTTGGCTCCCTGCACGCGAGCTGCTGAGCTCCTGGAGGAAACCGCGTGGCTGTGTGGGTTGTGGCCCTGCAAAGTGGGAAGCCTGCTGTGGACACGTGGCTGCGTCTGTGTGTCCCTGGTTCGGAGTCCTTCCTGTTCCCCAGAGCAGCACCTGATGGGAGCACTGACCTCGTTCACGGCTCCGGCCGGATCCCCTGCCCCGGGGGGACCGGTCCGCGCTGGGAGTCTGTTCTCTCTGCGTGAGAAGGCCGCCAGCCCGGCAGTGCGGTGGCTCTTCTTGGCTCCCTGCACGCGAGCTGCTGAGCTCCTGGAGGAAACCGCGTGGCTGTGTGGGTTGTGGCCCTGCAAAGTGGGAAGCCTGCTGTGGACACGTGGCTGCGTCTGTGTGTCCCTGGTTCGGAGTCCTTCCTGTTCCCCAGAGCAGCACCTGATGGGAGCACTGACCTCGTTCACGGCTCCGGCCGGATCCCCTGCCCCGGGGGGACCGGTCCGCGCTGGGAGTCTGTTCTCTCTGCGTGAGAAGGCCCGGTCCTGCTAAGGCTGAGTCAGCTGAGGAACCTGAGACGCTATAGTCTTGTGTATCCAACCTTAGAGTGGACCTTAGACCAAGTTCATCCCTGAAGCTCTTATCTTCAGGGTGAAATTAACCCGGTGACAATGTGGTCCCACGTTAAGGCGTCCCATGAAAACTCTTAAGAAACGGAGCCCGTGGATAGACCTGGGTGTGGCCCCTTTCTCCTCCCAAGAGAATAGCCAGGTCTCCTGTGTGAGGTCTGACTTTAATATTTGAAAAATGGATGAAAAAGCACATTCTATACCTTCCCTGTTTCCCCACGTGCTTCAAGTTCTGAAATACAGGCTAAACTTAAGTAAAAATCATACCAAGGATAGTTCAAAAATGTGATTTTTTTTTCACATCCAAATGGAGTAGAAATTCAGCTCTGCTCAGTAGCTAGTTGTCGGAGACAGCAGGATGCCGGGTGCCGAGGGGTCCCATGCCTGGTCCTGTCTTAGTGTGAGGGGTCCTTGTCCCTGTGGCATTCCTGTCTCTCTCAAGGTCCAATAAACCCCTCCCGCCCCAATGTGTCTGTCCTCCGGAACAGAAGAGCCCGAAGCATGGATGCTCCAGCCTGAAAGACAGAGAACCAGAGGCCTGTGGGTTCCGTGTTTCTAGTTTCTTTTTTTATTTCTTATGGAGTGTTAATAAACTGACTTATTGACCACACATTCAATCCATATGACATGTAACAGACTAATAAATCCCAGAGATACAAGAACAAGTTATAACCCAATCGGAGATTCAACAAATTAGATAAAATTCTTGGGTTTTCATAGATCTAATGTCACATGTGTTAGCTATCTAAGTTGCAAATATGATGTACAGTGGTGAGAGGCCCTGGCCCTAGGTTTACAGTTTAGATCATAGGACCTCACTGCTTGAAGGCACTATAATAACAGAACACTAAGGCAGGTAATAGGAAGCCCTGGCTGGGTGGCTCATTGGTTAGAGCATCGTCCTGATACGCCAGGGTTTGTGGGTTTGATCCCAGGTCAGGGCACATACAAGAATCAGCCAGTGAATGTATAAATAAGTGGAACAAGTCTCTCTCTCTCTCTCTCTCTCTCTCTCTCTCTACCTCTACCTCTCTCCTCTACCCCCTCCCATACTTTTTCTCTCTAAAATCAATGTTTCTGAAATGGAATCAAACTGCACATTTAAGACTGACAAAGGAAATAGATAGTTTTTTAAAAAATTCTCTTAGGGGAACATCAGCCAGAAACCTTTGTGACTGGTTACGCTCCACGTCCACAAAGCCACCCAGGAGCCCATTCCGAACAGAAAGGATGTTCCGAGTGGGGCCGGCCTTCCCGGCCGGGAGCGGAGGCCAGTGGCCTCTGAGATGAGCCGGCAGAGGGGCAGCGGCACTAAGGATGCCTTTTCTGCCGAGTGAGTGGCGGCCCGGGGACGGCATCGCGTTAGGCCTCATCGGCTGCCTAATGCGCCGTGCCTCGGGGGAAAAGATTAAATCACACGAGGACACTGCATTCGATCTGAGAGATGAGAGCTCTTCGGAGCAATGGCGCGGCGCATGTCTCAGGGCCGTGACTTCGGGAGGTTATGGAAGTCGAAAATCTTTGCGACAAAACCCATCTTTCAAGAGCTGGGGAGCAAGTGAGCAGAGTCATGCTTCTTCCGAAGACAATGACTTAGGAGAAGGTGGCCTTCTCCTTTCTTATTCCTTTTACACGGATTTGGGGTTTCACTGTACTTGTTAGTACGTCATCAGCTTAGGGATCTGCTTCTTTGTATACATCTCATGTGCGAGTGCATATGAAGCAGGAGAGATGGGTTTTTCAATTGAAGGATATATATATGTATGTGTATATATATATGTATCTATATATTTAATATATTTTTGTTGATTTTCAGAGAGTAAGGGAAAGAGAGAAACATCCGTAATGAGAGAGAATCCTTGATCGGCTGCCTCCTGCACGCCCCACACAGGGGATCGAGCCCGCAACCCAGGCCTGTGTCCTTGACCAGAATCGAACCCGGGACCCTTCAGTCTGCAGGACGACGCTCTACCCAATGAGCCAAACGGGGCAGGGCAATTGAAGGATGTTTTTGTCTATCGCTCAAGCATTCCCGGTGCAGGTGCCCACGCCTCGCCGACACGGATTTCCTAGCCCGTCTGTGACTAGATCCGCCAACGGTTACTTACCAGCTGTGACTCCAGTACAGACATCATCATGAAGTAACGCGCAGTGATGCCTTTCTCTTCGGCCGTCTAAGACTTTCCCTTTTCCATGTGCTACACGGGGCACCGCCCCTTTGGCACCGGGCGGTGGGCCGGCAGGTGGTAACGCCCCCCTTCCCTTGCAGCCCACCGTGTGCGAGCGCGAGCTGTGCGTGTTCGCCTTCCAGACGCTGGGCGTGATGAACGAGGCCGCCGACGAGATCGCCACCGGGGCCCAGGTACCGCCGGGGACGCCGGTCCCTCCTGACGTGGATTCGCAAACTGGGTTCTGGTTCACTAGCTGTCTGCACCCGGCTATTCGGGCGCGTGTCTGATGGCTGAGGGTGAAAGCAGACTGACCGCTGGTCCCGGTGAGGCACGACCTGCCCCGCTGTCCATCTGAGCGTGACGGTCGTGTCGAAGGTGCCCAGGGAGGCGCTGGCCCCGCGCCTGTGGCGTGGGAAGCGGTGCGATGCTTTCCCACGGGGTGACGCTGGCACGGGAGCCGGCACAGGCCTTACGGGAGACTTAGCTGGGGGCTGTGGCGCCATAAACTGGGCGCTGTTGGTTTTTAAAACTAGACGAGAAGAAAATGGGCGGAGCCTGTCAGAAAGAGAGCACTCGGTTTGACAGTCCCGGGGTTTATGGCGGAGGAAGAAAAGTGGAAAAACAGATAAAAAGACCGTGCGGAGGTAGAGAAGCCGTCCCTGTTTCTGGAAGGAAAATGAATTAGGAAGATGCCTAAGTGTATGACTTCCCACAATTCCTTCAGAATTTCAATTGGCTTCGTATTTTTCTTCATTTATAGAGCGTAACTAAATTACTAATGAATCCAGAAGGAAAAGTCATAGAAAAAGAAAAAAAGCTAATTAAGGGAGGCTAGGCCATCCCTATACAACAACATACTCTGCAGTCCTATACTATTTAACAACATACAGTGGTGGCAAGGAGTAGAGTGGCAGATGATCCACAACTTAAAGTTACATAAGTCTACTTAACACTTGTTGAAGGGGTATGCGGACTGAGTAATTGGAAGCAACAGGTATTCCTTTAAATCAGCGGTTCTCAACCTTCTGGCCCTTTAAATACAGTTCCTCATGTTTTATATATTTAAATGCCATTTAACAAAGAAAAATCAACCAAAAAAATGAGTTCGCCTGTCACCTCTGACACCCGTGTCATAGGTTCACCATCACTGGGCTAGGCCATCCCTATACAAAAACATACTCTGCAGTCCTATACTATTTTAACAACATACAGTGGTGGCAAGGAGTAGAGTGGCAGATGATCCATAACTTAAAGTTACATAAGTCTACTTAACACTTGTTGAAGGGGTATGCGGACTGAGTAATTGGAAGCAACAGGTATTCCTTTAAATCAGCGGTTCTCAACCTTCTGGCCCTTTAAATACCGTTCCTCATGTTGTGGTGACCCCCAACCATAAAATTATTTTCGTTGCTACTTCATAACTGTAATGTTGCTACTGTTATGAATCATAATGTAAATATCTAATATGCAGGATGGTCTTAGGCGACCCCTGTGAAAGGGTCGTTCGACCGCCAAAGGGGTCGAAACCCACAGGTTGAGAACCGCTTCTTTAAGTGAATGGTCAGCTGTGGTTGAATCTGGTCTAGTCTCACAGGCAGATTTGAGGGGCCGATAGCAATCCCGAATCTCCCCTGACCGACCACCGTGAGGGAGCCACAGGCCAGGCGCCTGGCAAAGCCGGGAGGTTGGTAACCGTGCCCTGTGTGTGTTTGAAGGTGGTGGACCTGCTGGTGTCCATGTGCAGGTCTGCGTTGGAATCTCCCAGGAAAGTGGTCATTTTCGAGCCATACCCTTCCGTGGTCGACCCCAACGACCCTCAGATGCTGGCCTTCAACCCCAGGGTGAGTAGCCCCGACGCTCAAGGCTTCCTTCCGCGGCTGAGAATGCCGGCTCCTCCGTGTCCTCTTCCCTCTGAATCGCTGCCTCCCCGAGCAGGCCCGTGACCGCAGGGACTCTGTCCGTTTTGGAACCCCGGTTCCTTTTCTGCTGACGGGATTTCCTCCGTCTTTCCCATGTCCTGCTGCTTCCCTATCCTTCCACCCTTCCCATGTCCTGCTGCTTCCCTATCCATCCACCCTTCCCATGTCCTGTTACTTCCCTGTCCTTCCACCCTTCACATCACTTGCAGAACTTCATCTTCATGAAAGTAAGCCCGTTGAATTCTCTCACATTTTGACCTTTACACTCCCAAATGGACATGGAAGGTCGGTGAACAGCTGTAGTAAACATTGCTCAGACATTGGTTGATAGTGATAATGGTCAATAGGATTGTTTTAATTCCATTACATAGTTTTTGAGATTCTAACTTACATAACTCCTTATGAGAATCATGTATGAAAAGGACAAATGTCCCCTTTTCTGTTATATTTTCGGTGTAGTCCCTTGCCCTCCCCACCCCTCGGTTATCTGAAGGTTAGTGATAATGCATTTCATAGTGTCGATTGCTGGCATTTCTTGAGAAAACTCTTTTATAAATATTAACGGCTATGAGGCAGAACCCTCCTGAAATAAAAATTTCAAATTGCACGACAGCTAAAATTGCCTTAATTTCTCTTGCTATTCATATGGAAAGCATTTTCTAGAAACAAGGACCATATAAAACTTCCGGGGAAGAATTTTCTGTCCTCGTAAGCAGCGTACATTACACACTTGCATTATGCTCACAAATGAATGATCAGTGGAGTGTATGGTGGTGTTTACACACCTGTCAGTCATCCCCTTTGGGTAACAATCTTCCGATCAAATGGAAATAAGAGCAAAATGAAATTGTGAAACTCCAAGTGGGTTTTTGTATTTTAGAAGGATTCTATGCTTAATTTGTTCATCGGGCCGTCATTTTTTGGAGCTGAAAGGCAGAATCAGGAACGCAGCGTCTTCGTTGTATTTACAGTTTCTCCCCTGTGGGCGGGGCATGGTTTCATGTGCTCTGCGGGGCCTGGTGTTGCTTTTCTCCTTTTCTTCCCTCTCAACTCAGTGATAAGTCCCGCATCCTTGGGCCGTCTTCTTAGCCTTCCCTGTACGTGCACAGCACGGTCATTATGGAAAATCCATGCACAGAAATCATATGTTTCTCCAGTAACGTGCAGACTTGCAAAAATGCTATTTTTTTCTATTCCCACAGAAGAAGAATTACGATCGAGTCATGAAAGCACTGGACAGCATCACTTCTATTAGAGAAATGACGCAGGTAAGAATATCGTCTGTGGGCTTGGGCAGTTCCGCTTTGCTGGAGTAAAATCTTATTTGAAAAATGTCTGAGGGGGAAAAAGACTGATAGTGCCGGCCGCGCAGTGCAACGCAGACTCTTCTGTTACATGGGGACATCATTAAAGTCGTAGAAACATTACAGTGGTCTGTACCGAGGCTTTTTAATTAAACCGCACTGGTGCGTGGTGTGCTGCCTCTGTTGGAGTACGCGGAGGCGTGGCGGGATATCAGAGGTATCCTCTCCCTAGACCCGTGGTCGGCAAACCGCGGCTCGCGAGCCACATGCGGCTCTTTGGCCCCTTGAGTGTGGTTCTTCCACAAAATACCACGTGCGGGTGCACACGTGCAGTGCGATTGAAACTTCGTGGCCCATGCGCAGAAGTCGGTATTTTGTGGAAGAGCCGGTATTTTGTGGAAGAGCCACACTCAAGGGGCCAAAGAGCCGCATGTGGCTCGCGAGCCGCAGTTTGCCGACCACTGCCCTAGACAGTCAGTTTTAATCAGCGGGAATAATTTCAAAACATCGTTTCAATGGTAAAAACAAATATTTTACCAAATTTAAATTGTACGTAAATATTTTAGACGTGATACGGAACCTCCAAACAGCTCTGGAAGACAGCAGACCCCCTGAGGGTCTGAGCTCTGTCTCTGGCCTTTAGGAGAGAGGCTTTGGTAGGAAAGTTGGTGAGCGAGGACCGGGGTTCGTGGTGAGAGGCTGACATGTCACCGGGCTGTGTGCGGTCGGGCACTTGGAAAAGTGCATGCCCGTGCATGACGGGGCCCGGTCCCCTGACCAAGATTAGGGGGGAGGTTTCAAACTCATCATTTTAAATAGAAATGAATCATCTCAGGTGGACAGCCACACACACGATGGGTTCAGGTTCAAGGCGGGCACACCCCGAGGCGCCCGTGGGCTGATGAGCGTTGTCACCTGGGTCACTTCCTCTCTCCGGGAGGGAGTCCCGGGTGGGGAGGGGACGGGCTTTGCTCCACTCTCCCTCCCACCCCCGCCATCATCTGTAGTCTATGAACACGTGCTTCAAAAGTGCGCCTTCACGTTCCCAACTTTGGTTATGGATGCTCTGGATAGTTCATTATTCATGTGGGCAAACATGCCTCCGTTCATTCACAAATAGTCCGTGCCAGGCGCGGGCAAACAAGAGCCTCGAACTCCCACGCCGTGTTCCTTGCGCATTCGGCATCCTTGGCAGTTGCTTCTCCGTGCCCCCACCTTTCTGTATTACGTGGATTCTGTTCTAACAAATATATTTGCATAAGGAAAATAAAATGAAATGCATTTCCACCCAGGGGGAAAGAGAACGTATTGCATCATTTCACTCAAAGTTAAGTAGCAGCTCTGATCACCAGAGACTCTGTGCGGGATATTTATACTCCACCCCGGACCCAGGTCACTCTTGGATATAAAAATACCAGTGCCTCTGGCTTTGGGTCAGCTCCGGGTCAGCTCTGGGTCGGCTCTGGGTTAGCTCTGGTGGGAGCGGCGTCCTTTATTCTGGGTCAGTGGAGGCAGTGGAGACAGCTGAGTCAGCCCAGGAGGTCCAGTCCGAGGCCCGCTTTGCAGAACTTGCTCATCAGTGATGTGGCCCGTGACCTCGGGCAGTCGCTCTGTCGTCTGATGCCTCCACTCCCGTCAAGATAGTGAACCTAACAGCACCCTCTCTCGCGGGCACCTCGTGGGGTGCTGTCAGGTTTCGTGGGCACCTTCTTCAAACCTCTCGGCATAACCATCACACTACACTGGCCTGTTTTCTAGCATGGACTGTCCTCCACATAGACCTACCGTGTCCCAGACAGATCGCTCTTGGTTCTGTGACTGGTAAATGCCCTTAAATGCTCGTAAGAGAAGGGCTCTTCTTAGGTAGATTTTGCCTTTTTTTTTCATGCAAAGATCTACACCTAAGTCGCTACTTCACATCTGAGCTTGAGTCGTAGCTATTGCAAGTTCTGCTTCCATGTTAGCTGAGAACTGTCACTGTCCCAGAGAACCGGCCCGGGAGGGACCCTTGAAGGTGCAGGGCAGCTGTCACTGGAGACCTGTGGAGGAGCCAGCTCACCTCCAGGGGACAGAGGGCTGACACTTCAACAGAGGACAGCCAGGGGCCAGGGTTATGGGGAAGTGGAGACAGGACTGCGGGGGTAGGGAATTTAGGAGGGTGAGTGGGGAATTACTGAAAAGTTAGGCCGCGTGGGTTGGTACAACACGCCGTTTGTGGTGTGGCAGCCTCGGGTGCCCTTGAGCGGAGGCCCACTGGGGCCTGGGGTCACCCGTAGGGACCTGGACGAGTGCAGGGAAGCCAGGCTCAGGTCTCAGCAGGATGTGTGGGTGAGTGCGGGGGCAGGGGAGCGGCCTGGGTGATGGTTGCTGTTACCATGTCACCCGCAGTCGTTCAAGCGTCGCTAGATGGAAGCATGCCTGCCTGCTCAATCTGAGTTTTCTTTTGCGAAAAGGGAAGGAGGGGGAGTTTTAAGGACGATCAAGACGTGCAATGACTTTTTCAGGCCCCGTATCTGGAGATCAAGAAGCAGATGGACAAGCAGGACCCGCTGGCGCACCCCCTGCTGCAATGGTATCGCATTTTCATTCTCTTCCTGAAAACCGCCCTCTCTCCACCTGCTCCGGGGGGAGGCCTGTGTTACAGAACCTGCAGGGCTCCCTGTGCAGGCCTCTGGGGCTGTGATTTCACCACGAGTCTCCGGACTCGCTGTCATTAGACCTCGCCCCTCACTGAGGGAGGAGCGGCTGTCGGGGGCCGAGTGGACGCACAGCCAGTTTGACGGCGGTTTGTCTGTCGTGTAAAAAACGCAACGAACCGGGTGACGTGGGGAAGCAGTTTTCGGTTTATTTAACTTTCTCGCTGAGGACTAAGTGGTAAATCTCGCCCACTGTGGACCGCTGGTCTGAAATGTGGGTGGGTGGAATCTGCTCCCTTACAAGGACCGTGCACCTGGGATGAGCTCCTCGTTCGAGGACAGCCGGGGAGGAGCCTGGTCAGGGACCCTGGAAGGAGGCCAGGCTACCGGGGAGGCGGTGGACCACCCACCTTGCACAGCGCCATTCAAATCATTTGCCCGCTGGTTTCTCATTTTTAAAAAAATATATTTTATTGATTTTTTACAGAGAGGAAGGGAGAGGGATAGAGAGTTAGAAACATCAATGACAGAGAAACATTGATCAGCTGCCTCCTGCACACTCCCTACTGGAGATGTGCTCACAACTAAGGTACATGCCCTTGACCCGAATCGAACCCGGGACCCTTCAGTCCCCAGGCCGATGCTCTATCCACTGAGCCAAACCAGTTAGGGCTGGTTTCTCATTTTTACAATGAAAACAGTAGTATCTGCTCACCATCTGTGGAAGGGTTTACGTATGTGTCTCTTCGAGGTTTCTGAACACTCGGACTGCGGGGTTCCCCACAGTTACCACGCAGTAATGCAAGCGTAAACTCCGAGAGGTGGGTGCGAGGAGCATTCACTCCGTCTCCAGCCAGAAAGTCTTTACAGAATGTGGAAAGCTGGGAGAAGGCAACAGACTCTGGGTACCCCCGGATTCTGATGGCTTCACTTTCACTTCGTCAGAATTTTACAGGACACATCGAGTTTAGTCTAATGAGACTGGGACAAAAATTAAGTTTAGAAATCTCCCTTCTTTGAATGTTTTATGATCTGTTATTAAAATCCTGAGTTCAGTAAAACAACCTATAGTTTTCATTTTAACTTTTAAAGTTCTCGCATTAGTCATATCACATAGGGATCTCAGCTGCCTCATCTCTTTTCCCGCTGAAGTCAGCCTGATTAATAACCTTTCATTAGTTGTCAATCCTCTTTCAAGGTTAAAAAATATTACCAAAATGTTTTGCCATTTCCCCTGCTTATTATTTTGTGTACATGAAACAGTTCTTTCAGATACCTGAATTTAACCTTTTCCGCTTCAGTGTCTAATGCTGAGTAACAGTCTGTATGTAAATCATTGTATATGTCAGCCTAAAGAGATTCTCAGGTACTCGAGGAAAAAGGTCTTCATTAAAACGAATTTTTTAAAATATATTTTATTGATTTTTTACAGAGAGGAAGGGAGAGAGATAGAGAGTTAGAAACATCGATGAGAGCGAAACATCGATCAGCTGCCTCCTGCACATCTCCCACTGGGGATGTGCCCGCAACCCAGGTACATGCCCTTGACCCGAATGGAACCTGGGACCTTTCAGTTCGCAGACCGACACCCTATCCACTGAGCCAAACCGGTTTCGGCTAAAACGCATTTTTAATTAGGTAATGTTGGGAGGGACAAAGGAAGCAGATGATGGATCAGCCTCTGATCTTTGTAATATTCAGATTATCATTATTTGAAAGTATATTCAGAGGTGTTCATTTTGTTAATTTTTGAGATTGCTATTATTAAAAATTATTTCTTAAGTTATAGAAGAAATGACTAACGTATTCCCAGATTAAAATATCATTTTGTTATATAAGCTCTTTAAATTGCTTCAGGAAGCAAAGCAAAATGATGTAATTAAATAAAATTATTACTCAGTTTACTTTATGTCGCAGTAAAAGTACATTTCAATCACTCGCCAACTCAGGAATAAATGTTTTTGACTGATGGATTGTTTTAATTGATTTCAGGGTTATTTCAAGTAATAGGTCACATATTGTGAAACTGCCAGTCAACAGGGTAAGTTGCTTTTTCGCATGTCCCCACGCACGGGAGGCCGCGCTGGCGGGGAGGACTGGCCCTGGGGGTGTCTGCAGCCTCTCCGGGAAATTAAACTAGACTTGGGTCAAGGCCGTTGCTTCAGGGTGAAGCTGCCGTATCTGCACCGTCTTCTAGCTTTTCCCAGATGCCACTTTCCAGATTCCAGTGCTGCCCTGGCCTTTTAAGTAAATCAGGGTCGGTTTGAGGCAGTTATTCCAAAGGTGGTAGGAAGACTGTCCCCTGGGGACGGGCCAGAAAGAGGCCGTTGCCTTTTCTCACGGTCGGCCTCCCGTTGGCGCAGCGCTGCTTTTCTGTATCGGAGAAGATAATGCCTCCGGGTACCTTTCTGACCTGCCCAGTCCGCTTACAAAACAGCGAGCAAGCTAATAGACTGCGTTCAGCTCTGCCCGTCCCCCGAGAGCAGTGGTTCCTGGACTCTCAGCTCCCCGTCTGTGACTCTCTAACCTGCAGAGCCCTCTCTTGCATCCCTATATGAGAATATTCCCCGGTGAAAGGCGACCAACTTATCCCAAAAGGTTCCGTTTTGCATTTTCTTTGAACAAAGCAGGAGACAATATTTGAATGTAGGCCATTTCCAATTTCACAAATATATGCAAACGCAGCATGATGATGATCGTTTTTGCTGTTTAAACCGCTTGACCTAACTTTGCTTTCTTGCCTAGCAAACTCTCGGACGGTTTCCCCAGTTGAATAGCTAGTGTGCACGTAGGGAATTCAATACTAAAATTCTTAAGAAGGAATGTAATTAGGAAGGCAGATCTAAACATAAATGACGTGTTGGCCTCCGGTCCTTTTTCTGTTAGCCTAAAGCAGTGGTTCTCAACCTTCCTAATGCCGCGACCCTTTAATACAGCTCCTCATGTGGTGGTGACCCCCAATTTCATTGTTACAAATTGAACATAATTAAAGCATAGTGATTAATCAAAAAAAAAACAATATGTGATTATATATGTGTTTTCCGATGGTCTTAGGCGACCCCTGTGAAAGGGTCGTTCGACCCCCAAAGGGGTCACGACCCACAGGTTGAGAACCGCTGGCCTAAAGAATTGTCCTTCGTATGGGCAATTCCATGACTTGTCCTGTGTACAGGGTTGGGTTTTTGTTTTTCTTAATGAATGGTTCTGTTAATGTGATGAACCTAAATTCTTGATGGTGTGAAGCTAGCTAGTTCTGGAACCGGTAAACTTTGACATTGTCAGCAGCCGATTGCACGTTGCGTTGAGCGTTTTCCCGTGTGTCCCCCTTCTCACCGGCAGCAATTGAAGTTCATGCACACGCCACATCAGTTCCTGCTTCTCAGCAGCCCGCCTGCCAAAGAATCCAACTTCAGAGCTGCTAAGAAGCTCTTCGGCAGCACCTTCGCGTTTCAGTGAGTGCTCAGCGCTCAGTGCTCAGTGGGGGGGTGGGGGGGCTCCTGCCGCCCTGGGTGGGGAGGGAGCCTCTGTGCGGAGCCGGCTACACTGACTCTGAACTCTGAGCAGCCAACTACACATCACATGACCTGGGAACTCGCTACTTTCAGAAGGGGCCATGACTTGTGTTTTTTATTGTTGTTTTAAAAGATCATTGATTTCTGGTTATGTCGTGTCCCCCCCCCCCCCCCCCCCCCCCCCCCCCCTTGAGAACTGGCACTCGATCCTGAGGAACGGCCTGGTCGTGGCGTCTAACACGAGGCTGCAGGTGAGTCTCTGAGCCTCCCGATGCGCCCTCATCATTCCTCAGGGTTGCAGCTTGGTGAGCAACCCGGGGCTAAGGTTTTACTTGGAAAGAGAGAAAATACATGGATATTTTTAAAGTCCATGGGATTCGTAGGAGGCGTAAGTAGTCTTCATAAAGGAGCGGAAGCAGAAAGGTTGGCTTGCCCATGAGAAGATCGCTTGGAACTTAGGTAGAAACAGCTCTCCTGCACCAGTAAGAGCCTCCGTGCATCCGCTGTCCGTCAAACACACGTGTTTGCAGTGCTGCTTCGGGATGAACAAGGGAAGGAAAGGGGGGAGCTAGCGTGGACGCCACGGGCCCTCAGCCTGCTGTCCAGCCTCAGGCAGCACTGGCGCGGGCAGCACACGGGGTACAGACCTCGTCATTCACCCCTCCAGCCCCGCATCCCCGCTGTCCCAGGCCATTTCACCTGAGGATGTGGGGGTCAGGAAATGAGGGGCTCGCCCCAGCACCGGGCCCCACACGCTGGACCCCACGCGCTGATCAGCTGAGATGACTCAATTGCAGTAACGCTCACAGATTCAATTCGTACCGAAGAGGGTACCGAGGCCCGAGAACTTACCGACACTGAGAAAGAATGTTCCTCGTGCAGAGGCGTTTCTCCGACCAGTTGAAGAGTTTCAGCAAATGGAACTCGGCGACTTGAAGATGTGCAGGTTAAACGAGGGAGACCCTGTGCACAGTGCACATCGGAGCAGGACCCTTCGGTTTACGAGCAAGTGGGTTCGTGTCCAGATCCTCACACATGTGTCAGCCTGGATCGTTTTCAGAATTTTAGACTCATTAGCACAAAAGCCCACGACCATGGTCTACAGGAAGCGGCCTCTGTCACCGCCGGTGGGAAGGGATTTTGCTCTGGCCGGCATTTCCCACTTGTCACTTACCCTGAACGTTAAGGACAAGGCTCTCAGTGTTGCTCTTTTCACGTTAGACCTTGCCGTAAGCGCTTTGTCATTTCCTAACAGCCAGTGCTCCCCCCTGAGATCGATGGCCCCTTTCGTAAGATATTAACATTGGAAACCACCGCTTTCTCTCCCGTCTCCCCCCTGCAGCTCCACGGTGCCATGTACGGCAGCGGAATCTACCTAAGTCCAATGTCAAGCATATCATTTGGTTACTCAGGTGAGCTTGTATTTCACGTCTAACCTCAACATGGGTTAGGTTTTCATGTCCTTATTGTTGTATATGCCAGGCATGATTTTCTAACAAGTGACTGAAGCTTATTTGACGTATTTGTGTTACATTTTTAAATCAATGTCAGAAGCAAAATGAAGCACGAATTTCAAGATGAATGTATAATAATTCCCTTAAGGTCCAAGAAGCTATATGTGTTTTGTCAATTTCAAGATCAATTTTAATTTTGGATCAGTAGTTTCTATATGTATTCTGTCCACAATTAAATACTGGAAAGTATTCATACATATCACTTCACGATCCCTGAGTATAAGTCCATAACATGTCAACTTCTTTTCTTTGGATTATTATATATCCCATAGAGAAGTTTTAAAAAGTATGGAAATTCTAGGGTTAGAAAAAACACCCTTAAAATCATCCTACTTGTTGGCAACTTGTTGGTAATATTTTGATGAAATTGTGGGGGGAAAACTGTCTTAGAAGCAATCGACAGCACGAGCTGAGAGGAGTGCGGTCAGTTCAGAAAACGGAAGGAAGGGTCACCAAGTTGTTAGCAATGACTCCCCTCACGTGGTGGAATTTGGGGTAATTTCTTCTTTTTCTTTTAATTTTTTTTGGAATATGTTTAAATGATCAGTGTCATTCTCAAAAACAATATTTTGTTCTGTTTAAATATAAAGTCATTAGTAACAAATGAAATTTTCTCCTCTTGGTCTACAACCTGTGTTCGATGTGTTTCCTGTCTTGCATTCATATACCTGCACATATAGTTTGTTTTGTCTCTCTCTGTGTGTGTGTGTGTGTGTGTGTGTGTGTGTGTGTGTGTGTTTACGTGATTACATGATTACATTAACCCACCCCAGGAGTACATTCTGGGTGCCTGGGTGGTAAGATCCCCTTGGTAGGAAAGGGTATTTGGAGGGTCTGGTGACCAGGTGAGCGTAGGCCAGGCCTACGGTCTCATTCCTTTGCCCTGGTTTGTGCTTTTTCAGTGACAGCAGGTTGTGCTCAGTGATTTGCCCTTACCTGGGGCAGAGCACGTGTCCTATGAGCACCAGGTAGACCCCGTCCGCCTTTCCTGGCGCAGCCTCGGCAGCCGGGTGACGTCACTTCCTGCCTGCACTATTTATTGGTCAGAGCATCACAAGCCCTCTATGTTCCAGGTTGGGAATTAGCCTCCATCTCCTGAGGAAAGGGAGGCAGAGCCACGTGCCAGGAAGGCACAGGGTTGAGAAATATTGTTGCAGCAATTTGGAAAGTACAATGTACCCAAAAAACACTAGGACAATAAGTAATATTCGGAAGAATAAGGTAGCATGGGCAATGCAGTGACCTAGTTCAACGGAGGAAATAATTAAAACCAGCAGAAACCCGGCTCTACATCGTATTAAAGCAGGACACAATAAAAACTAATGTGAGACCGCTTTACGTAAGACAGCCTCATTAGAGATAAGAAAAACACAGCAAACCATCAAAGACTCCGATTTTCTGCTTCTCAAGCTGGTGTGTAGGCCCCTTCCATAGGCTCAGAGACAGGACCGTGGGGGTACAAATGGATGTAAAATCCAGGAGAATGTTCATTGTCTGTGTAGGGGGCCCAGAGCTGTCAGCAAATTCCTGGTGTCTTTGAGCAGGAAAAATGTAAGAAACATGGCAGTGAGATGAAGGGGCTTCCTCGCTGGTCTGAGGGCCGGGCGTCTGGGGGCAGAGAGAGACAGGCTCCTGGAGAGGTTGCAGCCGCCCCGGTGGGAGTTGGTCCATGGCTTTCCCTCCTCCTGAAGCTTCTGAAACAGCAGCCACCAACCGCGACCACGCATCCTCACTCAGAGCAGCGGATGAGCCTTTTCAGATGCGCTCTAGCTGCCGTCTACCGCATCGCACACAGACGGGATCCCACTGCGGTTATGTCTCAGGTGTTTCACAGTAAACAGTCAAAGCTAAGGCTTTGAGTGTCGTAGACAAGAGGACTTACATAGTTCTTTATTAGGAGAAGTAGTAAATTCTTCATGGAATGGGACATATATAGTATTTTATATGTGTATGTATATATGTATATGTATATGTATATTTATAGTATAAATATACGTATTTTTTCATTGGGTCGCCTTTTCCTTTTTAAATATATTTTTATTGATTTCAGAGAGGAAGGGAGAGGGAGAGAGAGATAGAAACATCAATGATGGGAGAGAATCATTGATCGGCTGCCTCCTGCACGCCCCCCCACTGGAGATAGAGCCTGCCAGCCGGCATGTGCCCTTGACCGGAATCAAACCCAGGACCCTTCAGTCCCCAGCCCGATGCTCTATCCACTGAGCCAAACCAGCCAGGGCTATAACTATTTTTCATATTGTTCGTGTTTCCAACCCCTTACCGTCTCCTTCTGCGAACCAGATGCTAAGAATGAAAGAACGGGTCTAAAAGCCCTTTAAACCAAATTTTAAGAATTTTCTTACTGTCTCCAATGTATGTGAGAGAATTTCCCGTTAAGTTCCAATGCAAAGAAAAACGCACGCCTGTCTGCTTCCTACCTCCACCAGGGCCTCTGAACCCCCTGACCCTCCACCCCGGGTACCGAGGACACAGCCACTGTCCCTGCCAGTGGCCTCACACGACCAAACCTTTGCTGCAGTGGAACTTTGCCGTGTGGACAGAGTGCGTTTTGAGCTGTGTCGTGCAGCTTTGCTCCTAAATGATTGTCTTGCTGATGTTTTCAGGGATGAACAAGAAGCAGAAGGTGTCAGCCAAGGATGAGCCGGCATCCAGCAGTAAAAGCAGCAATGCATCACAGGTGTCTAGCAACCTGCGTGGCCGCGCCCGATGAGGGCCCCCCTCCCCCGCCCCCCGTTAGCCGGCAGGGTTCCCAGAAATGCTTGGGTTCTCTAAGTCTGCAGAATTATTTTAAGTGGTCATTACTCACAAGGGAACGAAACTCACCCTGAAATGTAATAACCCAAATGCCTTTATTCAATAAATACTCAGCAAGTCTGTATCGAGCTCCTCCGGCGATGCTGGAGGCTCTCCAAGGCATTAGGCTACCATGAGGATTAAAAATAGACACATCCTCTCCGAGCCTCCGTTCTGCTGAGCGGAGAGAAGTAAACTGGCTATACATTGAGGTGGAGAGCCTGCGGATGGTAAATACTGCAGAGAGAAGTCGGGGAAGGGGCTGTTGAATGTGGTGGTGTGGGAGATGGAGCGAGGATGAGTGGCAGGTGGTGGTCGGGGGGAATTGACTAAAGGTCCGAGGGTAGGGGGTGCATGCTTTCGGTTGTGGGAGGAAACCTCCAGGCAGAGAGCAGAGCAAGTACAGAGTTCTTGTTTCTTTTATTTAAAATATAATTTTACTAGAGGCCTGGTGCATGGATTCGTGCACCAGTGGGGTCCCTCAGCCTGGCCTGTGCCCTCTCGCAATCCGGGACCCCTCAGGGGATGTTGAAAAGCCAGTTTCGGCCTGATCCCTGCAGGCCAGGCCGAGGGACCTCACCGGTGCATGAATCTGTGCGCCAGGCCTCTAGTAGGCAAATATGATCTTTGGTTAATCTCTTCCCGCCCTCTCCCTTCCTCCCTCCCCTCTGAGATTCATCAGTCTGTTCCATGTTTCCATGCCTGTGCGTTGAGTGTCTGCCCCCTGGTGGTCATTGAGCATCATAGCTACTGGCCAGTCATTTAGGCTTTTATATATATAGATTGATTTCAGAGAGGAAGGGAGAGGGAGAGAGATAGAAACATCAATGACAAGAAAGAATCATTGATTGGCTGCCTCCTGAGAATCATTGACTGGCTGCCTCCTGTACGCCCCCACTGGGGATCAAGCCCTGAATCTGAGCATGTGCCCTGACTGGGAATTGAACCCATGACCTTCTGGTTCATAGGTTGACACTCAACCACTGAGCCATGCCGGGCCAAATCCCTTGTTTTTCAAAGAAAACAAGCATTCTGGACAAATTGAAATCCATCGGATGAATGATGTGACCTTAATTTTTTTTTTAAAGTATAGCTAATGTAATATCTAAAAACAAAACCCCCGATCTTCCACATGAGGCAAATCTGACACCCCTGTGGCTGAGTGAAGTTATAAGCATGGGTTTTGCATAGTTAGGTGACTGGGAAAAACTGAGTTTAATGTTTGAGAGGCTCCTGCTACTTTAATTTTATGCCCCAGGGAGTAGAGATTCCAGGCTTCCAGTGGAAACAAGTTTGAATTCTCTGCTGTGAGGCTATTGAAGTGTAATTTAGCATTTTTTGTTCACTTGGAGAGTGCTTTAATAGTGACTATGTACAATATTTAACGATGTAGCAAATAGAGCAGCCGTTCCGAAGAGCGCAAGGACATTGCTGCTAGTCTAAAGGGGCCTTTTGGGAGCTTTCTTAGTGACTATTGTTTTTTAATTAATCACCGAGTTTAGTGACTGCCCCATTTTCGCTCTAATTTTTAAATTCTCTTGGAATTTAGTCACAGAAAAAAGGACAGCAATCCCAGTTCCTGCAAAGCCGTAACCTAAAATGCATAGCCTTATGTGAAGGTAAGTTGTGGTTCTTGCAAGCCGTGTAGCAGTCACTCTGTCGTATCTGCATTTAGGAATGGGAATGTGCTAACCCTTTTCGGTCCAACCTCGAGGCTGACTCAACAGACCAGGCGCTAGGAGCAGGACCAATGTCGAGCAATAAGAACATTAAAAAGTTCAACATTCAATCCCGTCAATTAATTTGGACCAGACTGTTTGAATTCCAAAAATAACATTGGACCGAAAAGAGTTAACGGAATGCTCGTAGCTGAGCAGTGAAAGCATTATTCCTCGGGGCCGTCTCTAAGGGCACAGAGGGAACACGGCTACCATAGAGGTCGGAAAGGTCAGAGCGAAGGAGCAGGGTTGGCAGAATTCGGACAGTGCTGCTTTGTTCCCGGCAGGCACCTCAGCATGGCAGCTACAGCTGCCTGACCCGGGATCGCTTATCTCTGTGTGAAGGTGCCGCCTTCTCCGTTAGCTGGCTTTGAATGTGTGATATGATGAACAATTGTGAAGATGGACCGAGCACTGAGGAGATAGTCCGCTAGGCCTTTCTGTTCCTGTACTGAACTTGTCTTTCTGTTCTGAACTTGAGACAGAAAAGTGACTGCAGGCAGTTTGCACAACCATCTACTTTTCTCTGTTCTTGATTGAAAATCTGACTTTGGATGAGAGTTCACTCTTGTGTTGGGGTTTTGGCAGCCGCCGGGAGCTGTTTGGTAGGTTTGTGCCACTTGCTAGTTCTCTGGGACCCTGGCCGCTGCCTGCACCGTCCAGGCAGCCAGGACCCGCGTCCTGCAGATGGCGCACCAGCCCGGTCCCACCTGCTGTCACGCCAACGCCTGGTGGTGTGGAGTGGCCTCTCAGAGTTCTTGTCTACATTTCTCCATCACTAACGATGTTAACCATCTTTCACGGGTTAATGTTGCACGTACTTTTGTGTTGAGGTTCCTAAGGGGAGGGATGTCGTAACTCGGATAAAATCCTTCTTTAACGCGCCTTTTCGCCGACAGTGATCACCTCGCCGGACCTGCACAGACACGGGGAGATATGGGTCGTCCCGAACACCGAGCACGTCTGCACCCGGTTCTTCTTCGTGTAAGTGTCACGGCGCCCACCTGTGTCACCGTCCTCCGTCGGGGAGGTCGCGGTGACTGCTTCCACATTAAAAAGAAAGAAGAAGAACCAAAATAATTCTGAGACCTTCCCCTGTTCCCACTTCTCTCTCAGACCGTGTCTTCCTGGTGTCTGATTTGTTCCCTTTCTGTCATTCTCCGCTGTTTTCCAGTCTGAGCCCCGGCGGTGCTGGCCAGGCTGGCTTGGTCAAACCACATTGTCTCCAGTGGGCAGGTCGCCTCCCCGGCCTCGGCTCAGATTTCTGGGTGCTTAGCTGACCTGCAGCTCAATGGGGAGCTAGGATTTATTCAGAAACCAGGATGACAGACTTTCTGCCCAGTAGAATATGCATCTTTACCTATTCTTCCACAGAGCACCTGACGAGATTTCCATACCTCTAAAGCATCTCCTGTTACACATTCTCTGGTTTTTCACAGGGAACGCACTGCTTGATCTGAGGAAGTATTTATAATTGGCTGTATACCACATATGCCATTCTTTCCCTTGCAGTGCCGCCGGTGTGTAACACATGTCCTCTCTATCAACTTCGCATTTCCGTTTTATTTTAATAAGCTGGAAGAAAGCAGTGATATTTAAATGCTATTAACCTGGGAGAATTGAAGAAAAATATCATCTTTTTAGCCATCTATCTGTGTTTATGTATGCGTACATGTGTACACGTGTGTGTATGTATATGTGGCTATATATATACATATACACATGTCATGTGTAGATATAGACAGGCACATACACAGACATATGCATTCTTTATTTCTATATACTTACAAATATGAGGACGTGGAATGAAAACTATAAAAAGCTGGCTTACATCCCACAGAATGCAGGGTGGCCGCCTGGGCACAGTGTTGTAGTTTATCCTCAGAGCTGAGCTGGAGTATAGCAGCGTTCCTCTTCACCCCCGAGTGAACATGAGCGAGGTGGAGCTGCTGATTCCGCCCCCCCACACACATTCTCCTCGTCCCCGTCCGGCCAGCGAGGGCGAGGGGAGGGAGAGCATCCCTGGTGGACGTGTCTGTGGTCGTTGAGAAAGAAGCTGGGAGAGGCACTGGCTTGTTCCTCCGGAGCCGGGTCCGAGTGGCTGCACCCAGACGGCGTCAGGAGAGCGCAGCCCGGTGCTGGGCCTGCTCCCTGGGTGGAGCAGTGGGTTAGGGGGGCCCTGAGTTCCCATTGCCGGGTCATCTGCTTCATTTCCCTGTGTTGTGCTGTTTCGGGGAGGAGAGTGTGTGGCGAGGGAAAGACATGAATCCCTGAGACCGGGCTTACCTGGTTATCTGTTTGGAAGCACTTAGCGCTTCTCTACAGCTTCCGTCTTGAAGTCATTCCCATGAAGTAAAATTAATGCATTGCCTGTTCTGCTCTGAATATTATCGTGGAAGTTTAAAAAGTCATTCTTGGGAAATTTTTATTGCCCCAGTAAGTTTATGTGAGGAGATGAATGATCATCTAGGATGTCATTATGTCTTTCTAAAGGCCTCGGTAATTGCTGTCTTCCAGCCGGCATTGTCACTGAGGTTGCTTGGCTAAGCTTAGCGCGCGCGCGCACACACACACACACACACACACACGCACGCACGCACGCACGCGCGCGCTCTAACGGGAAGGGGCGCATAAATGAGAACGCGTTATCACAGACCCACGCACCCGCCGGTGATAAGACGAAATGCTTCACCGGTCACCGCGGAGGAGTAATTAGAGGTGGGCGTGGAGCGCACGGCAGCAATGAGGCGGTTTCTTAGAGTCACTGGTGAGGAAGTGAGCGAAGCGGGAGAAGCCAGGGTCTGAGGAGCATGAACTTGACCCGGGCTTCATGAACCGCTGTGGGATGTCTGCTCAGAGAGCTCCCTGCAGCTCAGGCGGGCTTTGTGGGGGATTGAAGTTAAAACGTCACAGGAAGGAAGGGGCGAGGGCGAGGCATAATCGGG